GGTCTGCCTCGGTCAAGTTCGCGGGCCCCTTGGGGTTACTCGGCGTGTGCAGCCCTCGCCTCTCCCTAGCCCCCTCCCTGGGAGGCCAGTCCACTCGGTCTGGAGGTGGGGGTGTATCGGGGGGACGGGGGGGGGGGGGAGGCAGACTGGTGCCAGAACGGTCTGGGCGTCTAGGGCCGTACGAGCGGCACCACGACGACCCCAACTGGCCTCCAAGATCGTGCAGGAAGTTCAGCCTTGCTTGAGGACGGCTCTTGTGTGCGTCCAAGAGGCACTCAGGCAGCCCCAACCCCCCAAGAAAGCCCATGAACACATTTTCCGAGCACGGTATTGAGCTTCCCAAGTGGTCGCGCAGCGCCAAGAAGCTTCTGCCAAACTCCAAGGCTCGCAATGGGTCGGCGGTGCGGCGTTAGCCAATGAATCCACGTCCGGAAGTGACGTGTTGCCAGAGGCAGGTCCGCGGATGCTGTAATGCAACGTATCCAATGTACCCAATGACTGCACAATTGCAATGTAGTCAATTCCTACCTACTTTGGTGCACACTGTATTGTGTTACATTCTTATGTCTCCCCCCCTACCCCCCCCCTGGAGCCGCGCCACAACGCCGTACCAAAAGTGGAGGCCCTCATCCCGAGGCTCAGAACTTACAAACACCTGTCCAAAATCAACATATTCGGTCTCTTGGGCCTCTTGGGGCTCCACGAGGGCCTCAAGATGGCCCCAAGACGGCCCCGAGACGGCTGACGATGGTCCCAAGAGAGCCCATGAGGCCCCCAAGACGGCCCCAGAGGGCCCCAAGAGGACCCCAAGAGCGCCTCCAGAGGCCAATATTCTTCTTTTCCCTTAGTTGCTTGAATGATTTTAGCGTTCTCGTGTTTTTCTATCCTCAGAGGCCCATGACGGCCCAAGCAGCCTCCAACATGGTCCCAGGGCGGCCTGGGAGGCTCCAACGAGGACCCCAAGACGGCCCAAGAGGGCCCCAAGACGGCCCAAAAAGGACCCCAGAACGGTCCAAGAGGCCCCCAAGACGGCCCAAGAGGACCCCAAGAGAGCCCCACGGCGGCTGCGAGAGGCATACAGGATGGCCTCCGAAGGAGCCAAAGGGCGCAAGAGCGCCGCAAGACGGCCCAAGACGCCCTCAAGAGGCCCCAAGAGGCCCCAACGAAGCCCCCAAGAGGCCTCAAGAAGCCCACAAGAGGCCTCCAAGAGGCCCCAAAGAGGCTTCCACCAAGCCCCACGACGTCTGGACTGCACGTGCTCTGGACGTGCACCCCGCGAAGCGAGAGGAATCTAGCTGGTTCAATGTAGTATACCACTGTTCTATAAATGCCTTTGTGTTGCGGATGCCGCTGAAATCGTAAAAGGAAGTACCATCGCCCTGCTGCAATCCCAGAGACTTGACGGCCATTCCTCCCATCATCTGGCCACCAAACAAGTCACCCACATATCGAGAGTACTGATGTCCGACGAGCAAGGTTGGATTGGTTGACGCTACCTTGCGAATCTGCGCGCAATATTGGACTGTAGCAGGGGACGGCCTGACGGAATCTCGCCACTGTGGGCCGTGAAAGTAAGCCATGTCTTTCTCAAGAGCAGGGAGGCGTCGTAGTTCGGCGAAGTCCAACTGCTTGACATTCACATCGTCCGTCGCATCAAATTCCTCCTCCATGGCCTTGTACACGAAATCCGCTACCGTGCCGCGAGGCACTGAATGAAGTGTCATCAGGACCCCTCGAACCCTCAATGCCGAATGTTTGTTAGCGTGGGCCCCAAACAGTGCGTTGTTGCACCCTTGATGCGTAACATCTGTGGTGCAATCTGTGAGTTCCAGGCTGTGCAGTCTAATCTAGATGGTGCGCGCTGTGTGATACAATCTGCAGCGGACCCCACGCGGGCACCCACCAGGCGAGACCTCGGCGGACCCAGCCGGCGCACGGGGCGCCCACGAGGCGCCCGCGGGCACCCACCAGGCGAGACCTCGGCGGACCCAGCCAGCGCAAAGGGGCGCCCACGGCGCCCACGAGGCGCCCACGGCCGCCCAGCAGGCGAAACCTTGGCGGACCCAGCCAGCGCAAAGGGGCGCCCTCGAGGCGCCCACGGGGGCGCCCGCCGGGCGAAGCCTCGGCGGGCCCAGCCGGCGCAGAAGGCGCCCACGAGGCGCCCACGGCTGTCCAAGGCTCGGCGCACTCTTTCCTGGGCTTCCTGCGCGACCGAAGTCTGGGATCGGGCGCAACGTTTCTGGGGTGGGTGTGTCCAGAGCGCTGCAGGAGAATGCAGGCCTCTAGCACTGTCTCACCTTCACTCGACATTTCACCACACAGGCGTTTCCAAAAGGCAGGGGGCGGCGGCGGTTCGCGGTGGGCTTCTTCCATACAAGGAGGTCACCAACTGCGAGAAAGACTCTCGGTCGCCCAAGCCTTTGAGAAATCCCGTCACGAACTGCGAGCTCTCCGCGGCGCTGTGGCTCTTCCTGACACCGTCGTCCAACATCAAGGCCATGCCAGAGAGCCGAACACTCTTTGACTTTCCGGCACTGCCCCGCGACTCTTCAGTCGCGACCTCGGCCATCGCCGTTGCCGACGACGGCGCCGCGTGCGCCACGGTCTCACGGCTCCTCCCGGTCCAGAGGCCCCCAGGCCCGCCACGCAGGCCGGCTCGCCGACGATCTACGGGCTCGCTGACGATCTGACGGCTGGCCGCGAACCCCACGGCGTCCAGGCAAATGGACCGGCGGCGCGCCGAGGGGGGAAACGAGAGGGCGGCCGGGGGGCCGAGGTGGGCCAGCAATGGGGGGGGCGCGGGGCCCCCTCGTCGCCACGGCTGGGCGCGGCTCGAAAAAACTTGTCTGCTTCGGGTCCGGAGGGGTCTGGGGGCCGATTCTCAACGAACTTGCCTTCATCCCGCCCTCTTGACCGCTTTCCTCTGGCCTTACCCAATTCAGACCGCCCGGTCAACTCTGAGGGGCATGCCTTCTCGCAAGGAAGCGCAGCTTCTCAGAGGCGCTCCGGCCTTCGGGGGAGCTTTTGCTGTGGCTCCGGAGAAAGCTCAAGACGACTCCCGGCAGGCCGGAGGCCTCCAGAGCCTACTGAGAAGGCCCGCCCCCTCTGAGCCTTCCCTCCTGGGCGCGCCGCCGAATGGAGCCTGTGGCCAGCAACATCAGCAAGGCTATGGCCGCGCCCAGCGGCCCGCGGGCGCGTCGTGCCATTGGCCCGAGGCCGACTGGAGCGGAAGGAGCGTCGGGGCCCCCCCGAACCAGGACACTGACGAGCAGCGGAGAAGGACTCGACCCACGGCTGCAAGGTTCTCGGGCGCGCCGGCGTCATGGTCTAGCAGTCGAGTAGGGGATCGACTACATAATTGGTGTACCCCAGCACCATGGTTGACGCGTATAATGTTCGTACATCGACGAACAGTCTACGTATGGCTCGACGAGAAAACCAATTGTGGGGGAAATCTGGGAGACTTCTCGCCAGACCCTTGGGCACGGGCGTAGGAGGTGCCCGCCCGTCCTCCAGCCCATCCCAACGGAGACCGATGTTCCCACGACTTGTCGCGATTGGGAAAAATATGAAGGGAGGGTGCGGGTGCTCGGGGAAAGCTGGTGGGCCCAGGGGAAGCACTGGGCCCCCGGGCTCCCTACGAATGGCCCATTACTGCAAGGGAGTGCGCTAGGATGCGACCCCCACGGCGCAAGAGAGCCATGCAATGCCGCCAGGACAGCCTCAGAGCCCTCCGAGACGTCCAGGAGCGCACGAGCGACCCAGACGAGGCCCTAGGCAGATCAGACTATGGAAGTCAACGCTTGTGCTTCCCAAACTCTTCGGCCCAATTCTGGCTTCAGTTCTGCTAAGGCGGCCCCCAAGACGCCCCGAGACAGCCCGAGAGGGCCCGAAGAGGCCCCCACCAAGATTGCCCAAGTTGTCCCTAGAGAGCCCCCAGCCAGCCCAAGACTGCCCCCAGTGTGAGCCCGCGAAACTGCTAGAGTCATTGCAAAGTATCCCCTCCCCCCCCCTCTCCCTCTCTCTTGTCTCCTCCTCCGCTTCCTCACTATCCTACCTCTTTTCGCCCTCCTCGTCTTCGTCGTCATCGCCCTACTCTTTCACCGACCTCTTCCTCCTCGCCCTCGTTCATGTCCTCCTTTTCCTCGTTGTCGCTGTCATCGTCGTCCTCTCTCATCAAACATGGGGCCCCTAGCAGCAATATGCTAATGTGCCACTGTGAATTTCGCAGGCTCCCGTGATTTGGTTGCGCTTAGGTGGGGATTTTCGGCTCGGGATACCTGGAATGGTAATAGTCCGGATCCCCTGCAAGACTGTGGACCTGGGAGACCTGCAGTGGCAGGAATCCAACGCCCCCTGCCACGTTCTCTGGACTTGGGAGACCTCGAATGATGAGATTCCGATGCCCCTGCCGCGCACTCACCCGATGCCCGTGCCACACATTTTGGACCTGGGAGACAAAGAACATCCTTTACGCTGTCGCACTCTGGACTTGGGAGACCTGGTTTTACGAGAACCCATTGTCCCTGCAACGCTTTCTTGGCACGGGCGACTTGGAAGAGTGAGAATCCCATGCCTCTGCCACGCTCTCTGGACCTGTGAATTCTGGACAAAATGGAATCTTCTACGCCTGCCGCACTTTCTAACACGTCAGCCTGGACCTGGGGTGCACTATCGCACCATCTTCGAGCGGGCGCGCACGGAACGATCCCGGGACGGCCCTGGGACGCATCGTTTCTCCTTGCTCTGGGACGCACTACCTTCCAGCGGGCGCGCACGGGATGCACCCAGGGACTGTCCTGCGACGCCACGCTGCCTGGACGTGGCACCTCGACTGGGCTCACGCACGCCGCCGGCGCCGCCGCCGCCACCGCCGCCCCCGCCGCCGCTGCCGCCGCCGCCGAATGCCGCCGAGGGCAGCCGAAGGCCGCCGAGGGCCGCCGAGGGCCGCCGGGGGCCCCCGGAGGGCCGCCGGAGGGCCGCCGGGCACTGGGCGGCTCCTGCCGCAGGGTCGCGGCCTCCTCCGCCCGCGCCCGCTCCGCGTCGCGCAGCTCGGCCACCTCGGCGGCCAGCTCCTCCCGGGCGGCCTCCTGGCGGAGTATGTCTCTTTGCTCTATTCTTGTTTTGTCCGTTTTTTCTTCGTCAATTTCTGTTTTGTTGCATTCTGTTCGTTTCGTTTCTTCGCTTTTTTTGTTTTGTCTTTTCTTCCTCCGACGGAGAGGGTGTGCCGACGTTTTCCCTCTGACGGAGGCGTCGGAGGCGGTGGCGGCGCCTGGAGGCCGAGGACGCCTTCGTCGTCGTCGAGCTTGCCCCATCGTGGGTCCCTGCCTGTGTCCTCTTCGCTGCGGGGAGCCCCCCCGTGAACGAAGAACGCCCTATGGACCTACCGTTCATGCGAGAGCCAAGTCTTGAAGCATGACCGTGCTCCATCCCTGTAGCTGTTAGAGGTGCCAGAACATATGATCATAACTTTCAAGAACGTGTCAATCAAGAAACCCATCTAGACATGAAACGTCCTCCATCCACGTAGCTGCCGCGCACGTTCAGGTCACACAGCTTGGGAGCATCCGAATCGAAATTACCATTTTGTATAGGAACCTCCTTCCATCCGTGAGTCTGTCGCACAAGTACAGTCCCGCGCCATAAGATATGAGTAAGACATGAGGAACGATCACATGACAACAACACATTGACACATTATCCTCCCTCGATCCCTGTAGCTGTCGCAAACTTTTAGATGAAATGTGCGCGGCGCCAACGCGTGAACCACATAATGGAAACTACGTGTGCTCCATCAACTGTTGGCGGCGCCAAGGTGGAAACGCGTTTAGCAAACCACCTCAACTCCATCCGTGCGTTTACCAATTTGCCGTGGGCGCCACATAACTTACGCCACATAGCTTGCTCCACATAACTTGCGCACACTTGTTTACATCGCATGCCTCACACTACAAACATTCCCTTTCCGACAAAAAACAACATAATGTGAACGTCCCCCTCTGCGTCTGATTTTCCATATTCGTTCTCCATGACCGTGAACATTAGTACAGGATGAAACCGTTCCGGCCAACCAATACCGACCCATCTTCATCAAGGTCAAACTTTTCCGCAACCCTTTTTTCGCATCATCATCATCACCATCATCACCGCCAGCGTAATCATTGCCACCAGTATTATCACCACCATCAACTTCATCACCATCACTATAGTCCGTAGTCGTCGTCGACATCTTCACCACCGTCATCATCATGACCACCATGATGATGATCATCATCAACATCATCATCATCACTACCACCACCATCGCTATCACCACCACAAGCATCATTACCATCATCACCGTCATCATCATTATCATCATCGACATCGTCATCGTATTCGTCATTATCACCGTCTTTCTCCTCCTTCCCATCATCATCGTCACCATCACCATCGTCATCTCCATCGTCACTATCATCATCATCACAACCATCACCAACACCATCACCATCACCATCACCATCACCACCACCATTATCATCATCATCATCATCATCAGCATCAGCATCAGCATCATCATCATCATCATCATCATCATCATCATCATCATCTTAGTCGTTGTCGCCGTCCACTCGTTTTTTCAAAGAAATTGCGGGTGGGTGGGTGGGTGGGCGAGATGTTTGCACGAGCGTTGGATGTTGTCACGGGTGGATGCGGTCAAACTTATTTGCACCATATAGATCGCACTACATAGTTTACACCGCATAGCTTGCGCTACACAGCTTGCACAGCATGTTTTGCAACACATAGCCGACACCAGATAGCTCGCACCACATAGCTCCCGCATCCACACGGCAACAGCTCATTGTTTGGGGTTCACGTCGGCAAAATACGCACGCATCCAGACATGCCCCTCAACGCGCGGGGCGTCCGCGAGGCTCCCACGCACGGCGATCGACCGTAAGAGAAAGAACTGTTAGGGAAAATGGGATCTTCGAGCCCATTGCAACATTGATAACTGTCTTGCTCTTCAGACAGCAAGCCTTTGTGTAATACAGCCACGAAAGATCTCGCTGCTTCCGCCCTGACCCGTCGCGTAACTTATAGGGCCCCCCACTGTACACAACACCACGGCCACGGAATGATGCAGCATGCCATCACTTTTAAATGGGGCCAAGGCAAACGTTTACAAGCTCCAGGATACTGGGAAGAGAGGAAAGGAGAGGGGGCATGGCATGGGAGGGGAAAGACAAGACATCTCCCCAACGTTCCCTCCCAACCCACCCTGGCCGAAAGCTCGCTGTGGCCCTCCACCCGCACTGAACACCCTGAAACACGATCAACTTGTCCGTGCCAACCGCAAGATTGGGCATCGTCCCCGCTGGCATGGCCTTGGTTTTACTTGCCAACTTTCGTACCCCCTAGGCGGGGATACATTCTGTTCCCTTCGGGCTTCGTTCGCAGGACCTGTTGGGGATCGGGGGCGGCTAGACGACGCTGAAATGTGAGCCCATCCCTAATTAAATGGTCGATCCTGGACACCCTGAGCCCCCCAAAGTTGCCCTCCCTTGGGAACTCGTCTTTTGCCTTCGCTGGCTTCAGCCGAGCTTCTACCGGCTTCCGCCGGCGGAGCCGCCGCTGTTTGACTTCCGCCGCGGAAGAGATGACAGCTCGTTCGATCCTCGAAGGCGAGGCCCTCTCTGGAGCGCCCCACATGATCAGCCGATCGCCACCAACACTGCCCGCTGAACCGTGCGAACAACGAATCGGCGCGACTCTTTTGTGCCGCTGCTCTGCAGGACGCTGGGGCGGGGGATCATAGCTCTCCTCGTGCCGCAGGGCCTGCTGGAAGCCCAGCGTCTGAGCCCAATCGGCCGCCATGATCCCGTGGTGGTCCTCTCGGTCACCGGGCCCGCGAGGAGGGAAACGAGGACGAGGACGAGGACACGCGCGAGGGGGAAGGCGGCGTTCAGTCATCGTGCTACCACAAGGAACGCCGCATGAGGAACGTATGGGGCTTCCCTGGACACGGCGAGCCTCGGCCTCGAGCTGGTTCCCAGATGGTCTCAAGAGAACCCCAAGAGTGCCTCTAAGTTAAATTCCCTCGGGCCTGCGGAGAGCAGCCCCTGACCCAGACCGAGGGGGACGAACCTCTTCTGGTCGCTCCCAGCCGCTGTCGTGCTGCCAGGCCACGACGCAGAAGAGAGAGGAGGAGGAGGCGGAGGAGGAGGAGGAGAAGGCGGAGTTCAATTCAGTTCAATTGGCCCCGGAAAGCGGTCTACTCGCACTAAGGGCAGTGCCGTGGAAGCATCTGGGCGCCGCCACGCGACAGTGGTATGAACCTGAAGACAGCCCGTGCGGCCCAAGGCCACTCGGGCCATGCCCGCGCTGCCCATGAAGGGGGCGATCCGCACGAAGGACGCGCAGCCTATAGGCGGGTACCCTACCCCCACGGGGGCCAGCAGCCCACGTCATTCCCTCCCCCCGACCCCCCGCCTCCGACCCCCTTGATCGGCCTCTGCCGCGCCTACGGCCTGCTCGGGATGATGCTGCTGCTGCTGATGATGCTGCTGCTGATGATGATAATGATGATGATGCTGCTAACGATGATGCGGATGATGATGCTGCTGATGATGCTGATGATGCTGATGATGCTGCTACTGATGATGATGATGATGATAATGATGATGATGATGATGATGATGATGATGATGAGGAGGAGGAGGACGAGGTGGAGGAGGATGAGGATGAGGAGGAGAGAGGAGTCTGTCCGAAAACCATAGGCCCTCCTCAACCCATCGTGGTCCTTCTTTCACCGTCTTGACTGTAGGAGGTGGCGACAACAACAACAACAACCGAACTTGAATGCGAATGTGTGGCCGATCGTCCGCTCGTTTGGAAGACAACTCCGCACTGCGCTGCGCGCACGGAGAGGTGGATCAATCTAGGCAGTGCAGGCGTGAAAGTGTTACTTATGTGCGCTTCATACGCGCGCGGTGCTACATTCTCGACCTCGGCGCTGTTGGGTCGCAAGGGCAGGGGCGGGGAACGCGAAGGTTTGGGGCCCCTGTGGGGCCCTTGATCTGGCCGGACTCAACGCGTTCCCTCGAAACTCTGTCCTCGGCATCGCTTATGTGAACTCAATCGGCCGAAATTTCGGCCAGCGCCCATATACCCAGGAGGGAGCCGACAAGATCGGCAGCAACTGAAACCGAATCATGGGCACAAAGAACAGCCGAAACGCTCGTCACGGGCGCAACCTGAAGCGAGGAGGTTCACTCCCGCTCATCTGGCGAACTAGCTGGTGAATCGAGCCTTTGAGCAGCCAGCGCTGTTATGGTTCTCGGGAATTGCCAGCTGGGCTGGTCAGGGGCTAGAGGGGCTAGCAGCGGCAAACAGCGTTGGCGACGCCCAGACTTTCTCTAAGACCAGGGCAGGTAGGGCACGTCAACGGCCAGCAGGCGCAAGTGGCTCCTGTAGTGGCGCCTCGGCTAACAAGGCTTGGCAAGTGGGCCTCGGGGATCGCGCCGATCCCCCTCTCCCGCGCACTAGCCTCAGCTGCCGCCGCCTCAACGCGACGCCTTCCTGAGGGGCGTGGTGTCCACGTCACCGTCCTTGTCGTGCGTGTCGTGGGCAAGGCTTGGCACTGGCGCTGGCGGAGCCCACGCCCAGGTGGGGCTGGCGGGGCCGCATTGACTGGTGGGAATACCTAGACTAGTCTTGGGCCATCAGCCAGGGATCGACCGAGGCGAGCCAACGCACGGCGGTCGCAACGTGAGGCGCAACCTGTGGCGCACCCAATTGCAAGCCGTTGTATTCTCCTCGGCCGCCGAGGGGGCAACTTCTCGCACAACCAGTCGCAGGCCTATCTTTGTTCGGCAGCAGAAACCGAAGTCTACGGCGTCATTGATGACGCAACACGTGAACGGCGCAATCCAAAGATGAGGCAACCTGTGGCGCAACCCAGGCGGCGCAGCCTATGGCGCAACCCGCGCAACCCATGGCGTGCCACATGGGTGGCACACACCACTGGCAATTTCTACGGGGCTACGTCCGATGTGTGCTCCTGGTTTGGGCTGGCGGCGGGGCCCATGCGGCGAGCTCTTCTGGTTGCTCAGTCAACGGCCATCGACCGCAAAGAGTGGGAGGAAGACCCGACCTCAATGTCCAAATTTGTTCAGTGCGTAAGTTTGGAGATCTCGACACCTTCCCAACGACACGGACACTGGAGAAAGCAGCCTCTGGAGGGAAAACCTGGGAAACGAATTATGTCTTTTCAAAAGCGGTGGAGGTATGGGTAGGCTCCGAGATTCCAAGAATTGAGGGGCAACTGCCCTTCCGCTTGGTACCAAGAACCCGGAGAGGAAGGGAAATGAGAGGGGGCGGCAAGGACAGTCCTTGCGGCCAACGGGCCAGGGAGGGGAGGAGGGGAAGCGAGATGAAGAGGAGCGGGAGGACCATGGCAAAACTTGGATGCCTCAGAGATGCTGCAGTCCACTCTCAAAGTCTCCCGTCTCAGGTTCCCTCCTCAGCAGCCCCTACGAGCATCCCATCAGCAGCCTCAAGGTCATACACCTCATCAGGAAAGCCACGGATAGTCTAGGTTTGA